ATGAGGTATTCAACTGAATACCAGGATGCAACCAAGAGGTGGCGGTTGTGTCGTTTAAAAACGGCTTGAAGGATGACTGCCCGCTTCAAAAATCACTGGTAAAGATATTGCCGAAAAGCATGGAGGAGTTGATGGCCAGGATAAAAAAGTATGCCAGAGCCGAGGAGGACACGCCGGGGACAAAGGCGTCCGAAGAGAAATGGTTCGCCGAAGCGAAGCCAAGATAACACTGGATACGAGAAGACAAGAGCTCAGCCCAAGTGAGCAGATCCTAGATCCCAGAAGACAAGATCTCGGCCTAAATGATTAAGTCCAAGGAGAAAAGAGCTTGGCCTAAGTTAAAGAATTTTTATGTAAGGTCCACAAAGGAGTATGTGGAAGCCATGCAAGGGGCAGATCCCGTGTCCATAGAGCAATATCGTAAGGATTCTTTCGGCCTTACATGAAGAAGGAAGCTGAAGCCTATGTAAAAAAGCGTGAAAATGCTGTTGAAATCCACCTGCAATGTGCGATAGAACAGCAAATCGGCTGGGGGCATACCAGCAACAATTTGCAAGGGCTTACAAACAAGAGGGTCAGCCCAAGAGAGTTCAAGGATAGGAAACTCATCCTGAGAAAGGTTGCAGGAAATGGGGCATATCAGCTGAAACATAGATTGGAGCCAAGTGCATGCCAGTCAAGATTAACAAAGAGACCGAGGTTGGTGACCTTGGCCAGTCTTTGTTTGAATCTGACCTCAGCGACAAGGTCAAAAACCCCATGTTTGATGAGAACCCAAGTGGAACTTAGGTTCACATTAGGGGGCAGAAAGAAAATGGTTCTTGGCAAGGTAGAATATACATGCTAAAATCAGTTTAACGTTTGTTGAAATTTCGAGAGAATTTACAAGTTGAAGTTAAACCGAAATCATGTTTAACACTTGTTGAAATTTTGAGAGAATTTACAAGTTGAAATTCTGAGAGAATTTACAAGTTGAAGTTAAACAGAGATCATGTTTAACACTTGTTGAAATTTCGAGAGAATTTACAAGTTGAAGTTAAACCGAAATCATGTTTAACACTTGTTGAAATTCTGAGAGAATTTACAAGTTGAAATTAAATCGAGATCATGTTTAACACTTGTTGAAATTCTGAGGGAATTTACAAGTTGAAGTTAAACCGAAATTATGTTTAACACTTGTTGAAATTCTGAGAGAATTTACAAGTTGAAGTTAAACCGAGATCATGTTTAACACTTGTTGAAATTCTGAGAGAATTTACAAGTTGAAGTTAAAACGAGATCATGTTTAAACACTTGTTGAAATTCTGAGAGAATTTACAAGTTGAAGTTAAACCGAGATCATGTTTAACACTTATTGAAATTCTGAGAGAATTTACAAGTTGAAGTTAAACCGAGATCATGTTTAAACACTTGTTGAAATTCTGAGAGAATTTACAAGTTGAAATTAAACCGAGAAAAAAGATTGATTTAACACTTGTTGAAATTTTGAGAAAATTTACAAGTTGAAGTTAAATCCAAGGTTATGAGTGAAAGAAGTATCTATACACGTGCCGAGGTGACTATGTTACCAAGACTTGGAGGATAATGGAAGACAGAAGTCTTAAGAAGTAAAAGCAACACTTGTGAAAATATTTGTTACAGTGTTTTCAAGTGTTAAACCGAGACCGAGATAAGCAAGGTCAGAAGTTTTGTCCGAGGTATGTTAACCTGGGAAGATTGCACAGTTAAAGTGTATGTTGAAGACATGCAAATTGTATTCTAAGTATGGAATCATATAAGGCACTAAGAAGAGGGCACACATTCAAAACACTTGAAAGAAGAAGTTAAAAAATGCATTCAGATAAGGAAAGAAGGCACTTCGGCCTGACATTGAAGAATAAATTGTTTGAGTAACAAAAAAGTACAAGGTACAAAGACAGTACATGATCAGTACATGGTGAAATTCAAGATACAGGTTAAATGATCAAAAGACATGAACGAGTAAAGCAATGAAGCCGAAGTAAAGTTCGCCGGGATCAGACGGTGGCCGTAAGCTAGGAAGTGCAGCAGAAGCCTCGCTAGAGGGGAGAGTGAAATTGGTAGCAGACAGCTTCGCAAAAGCAGCAATAGAGGATTTGAAAGAGAAAGGTTAAACAAAAAACGAAGATGCAGAAGTGAAAAGACGGAGAGAGTGAAGAGATTTTGATCAAATAAGCAGATACAAGGCGACTTAATGACGCATATCAGACACGGCTCAGTAGAAGAAAGATGCGTGGCAGAAACGGTTGAAAAATTGTACGTGCCAGCTCATATGCATGAAGAAAACTCTTGAAGTTCTTGATTTAATGAAACAAACACCTCGGCTAGAAGGACAGTTTCGGTTAAGAAACTTGAACGAATTTGGTTGTTGGTTCCAAAGCCTTGATGAAAGTAGACTATAGGTCTGGGTCATATTGAGTCGACGAGTTCTGACTTCGGCAATAAATGATGAAGCAAGCTTAGCCGATGTGCTAGTTGAAAGAGATAATATAGGTTCTATCACCTCAGTTTGTCGAGGTAATAGAACCTAGGGGGCAATTGTGGGGACATATTTTTTGGGTAGTCCACGTGGCCGAGATTGTTAGTTGAGGTGCTACGTGGCCAGATCATGTTGGCCGAGATATTTGCGGCACTGCCGAGGTATTCTGCAGCAATACCGGAATCCGAGATAAGCAGATAAGGGACAAGAGTCCTAGAATGGGAGAAGACTTCAGTTTGGGTAAAGATAAGATTCTTAGAGAGTTTATCCTAATCCTACTGGGAGTCCAAGATTAGCAGTAATCCTAAATCCATTAGAGCTAGGCTTCTATTGGGACTAGGATTGTGTTGACTGTAAAAGAGAGGCACCCCCATAGGTCTAAGGTATGTCTTTTATGCTCTGTCTAGTGAGTTAAGCACTATTGGTTATCTTTGAGAGATATTTTACTGACTTGATCGTCGGAGTGCCCCCCGGGTGGACGAGTCACCGCCGGAATCTCTTCTTTCTGTTGCAAGTTGTTCATGCTTAACCTGTTCTGCCGGTGTTCTCCAGTTGAGTACTAAGTTGGCAGTGTGGTCGAAAATTGACACAAACAATTTTAATGATTAAATTCTTAAACTTTTCATAAATATATAATTATTTTATAAGGACATCACTGATTTGTAATTTGGTTGAATTGCAATTTGGACTTCAACCTTCTTTGGAAAGTTCGATCTAGGCTAAAATAACTAATAAAGGTAAAATAGATAAAAATAAATAATAAGTTCAATAATCATTTCATTTTTTATATATAATTATTAAATTAATTACAAAAAAAAATCAACTATCATCTCAAACATAATAGTTATTTCATTTTTTTTTCAAACTAAAAAACAAGCTTTGAAATTGTAAAATATTACAGCTTGAAAGTATGATTCTATTAAGTATTTGTTCTTATTAATCAAATTGAAAAAACATATTATAAAACTGTAAAATTTTACAGTTCTAAAGAAAATTATAAAATTATAACATTTTATAGTTCTAAAAAATGATTCATTTCAGCACTAAAAAAATTGAAACTGTAAAATTTTATAGTTTTCACCGGCTGTAATTAAAACTCAAAAACAATTTATTCAAAAATTGAAAATTTTCTCTATTATAATAGGAAAATAGAAGTGTGTAGTATAGAAAAAGTATTAAAACTGAAAGATCGAAAGAAAGAGACAGATATAGAGAGATGCCTGTACTCCGACAACTATTTTTTGATTTAGATCTAATTGGATCTAACGTAGATCTGAGTAGATTTACATTAGATTTGAGTAGATCTACTCATCTTTTTCGTTGGAAACTTATTTCTTTTGCGTCAATAAGCGCGATGTAAGGAGTTGGTGCTCGGTGGTTGCTCTTGAACCCCAATCAATAGTAGTCACCGGTCGTCAATGACTATAAATTAGAAAGAGAAAGAAAATAAGGAAGGCATGGTTCTGGTGATGGTCGTCGTTGATATCAGAGAAAGAGAGACAAAGAGAAGAAACAAGGTGTAGAGAAATAGAAGAAGATAATGGGTATAGGATTTTTAGGTCTATTTAAAAAGTTTTAGGATTAAATAAAATATACACTTTTCAAAAAAGATTTGTAAGTAATTTATCCAATTTTAAATTAAACTGATTTTTTAGTATACCCATTTTAATAATACAACAAATAATATGCTTAACATATTTTAGTAGCAAAATTTAGACTTGTCAGGCCGCTCACAATTTCACAATTATTATGAATCGAAAAAACAATTTCACAATTATTGAAGGAATAAAATCGGGATGGCGTGGACATTAATGTTACCAAATACCAATTATAAGGTAGCACGTGTAAGAGCTGCAAAGTATATGGTCAATGGGAATTTTGTTAACGCATTATACTCAATTATTGTTCATTGATAAATGAAGGAAAATCAAACATCTTAACCGTCACAATTTAAGGCTCTAAATTGTATTCATAATGACATTAAAAAAAAAAAAAAAAGTGTATCAATTTTTTATTTGTCATAAATTCAAATAGATATGACTTAATTCTCTTGTTACGTAATTTTTTTAACAAATTCTATACGAAAATTCTCGTGATTTAGTATTTTTCTAAACATAATAGATTTTATTCTCTAAACTAATAATAATGAGAATATACATCACAAGGCCGTACCCTCAAGTGTATGTAATAATATATTTCTTGATCATTTGTAGTTTTTATTGATGCATTGCATTCTAGTCAATTATAATTAATTCTCTTGTTACGTAATTCTTTTAACAAATTCTATACGAAAATTCTCGTGAATTAGTATTTTTCTAAACATAATAGATTTTATTCTCTAAACTAATAATAATGAGAATATACATCACAAGGCCGTACCCTCAAGTGTATGTAATAATATATTTCTTGATCATTTGTAGTTTTTATTGATGCATTGCATTCTAGTCAATTATAATTCATTAATAAATTAAGGAAAAAAACTACAAATAATGAAATTGATAAATAAAATAATTTTTTCTGTCCAAATGCATTAATTATTGTGGACTAAGTCCAAATTAGCAAGGCAGATCTGTGTCACACAAACAACCAAGACCTAAAGATCATCACAATATTAAGACAACTACAGAACAAACCCTCTCAAAGACCATCACAATGAAAAGTACTTGGGATGAATAACATCAACAAAAATAGCATCAACAACAGCCTATGAGTCAATCATAAATACATTTTGTCTACAGTAGTGGGGTCCATTTATCAATTATTAGTGACCATAATAGTATGAAGAAGAAGAAAAAGACAATGGGAACTTCTCAAGACCTTGTAGGACCTCTTTCATTGTCGGTCTCTTTTGTGGCACTTGTGATATACAACTAAACCCTAATCTCAATAGTGCCAACAAGGCATCTTCTTTGCCTTCCAAGTCACCACGAATCGCCGCGTCAGCCATCCTCAAAACCCTGCTCCTCTCCTCACTGGCTAACCCGCCAGGCCCGGGGGCCATCTCATCAGAAATAATGACTTTCCCAGTGACCAATTCAAGTAACACAATCCCAAATGAGTACACATCCCACTTTGAGTTGGGCTTGAGGCTCCTCAGTGACTCCGGTGCATAGTACGGTGATATGCAACCCATTGAACTTGGGCTTGGGCTTGGGGTGGCCCCCATTGGCATATCCTGGAAGCTGTCTCGTGACGCTGTCGACCTCTTGCTACCGAAATTCCTAGCTGATCCACCGGGCTTGTATCCGCTCTCACCCGTTGCCAGCCGCTCCAGCCCAAAATCTCCAATTTTGGGCTCCATATCTAAGCCCAAGAGGATGTTACTGGGCTTGAGATTCCCATGCACTTGCTTCTTGTCGTGGATGTAAGTTAGCCCCCGAGCCACACCTCTCGCTATCTTGAGCCGCAGCTCCCAAGGTAGATGGCATGGGGAGGAGCCCACTTTTCCTGAAATTGGAAACAACAAATTCAGATCTTGCGCGCGAAAGTTGGCCAAATCTATCACATCCGGATGAACATACACGAGGGCTGTTTGGCAAATGAGCTTTGGACTATTTTTTCTTTAAAATTCACAAAAATATAAAAAAAAATTAAAATAATTAATAAGATAAAATGTCATATTAAATTCATAATCATTTTATTTTTTCTCTTACAAATGTTACATCCAACTACAAAAAAAAATCTAATAATCTTCCCAAATACAAAAATTTTAACCTACTAAAATAACTAAAAATTAAAATAGCAACTTTCCAAACACTCACATGATATGCATGTATATCTAATTCCATTATAAAACTCACAATTCAAGATAAAAATTATTAACCGTGTCTTTATCATTTATCAAATACATCAAAATTTTAAAAATAAAATTATAAATACACACTAAATATATGAAAAAAAAGACATACAAATATAATAATAAAAGTTAAAAATATTATAAGTCATTTTCGGGGAAAGCGAGCACAGCAAAAATGGATGGGCTTTTAGATACGTGTATCGCTATCGGGCACAGCGGTCCAAGAAAAAGCAAGAAAATACGACAGGTTGACTTGCCATCCATTAAAAACAAAGGTTTCAGTTACAACAACTCCACCGTCTGACCTCACTCACCCCAGCGCACTTTAGCAGAAATGTTATTCACTTGATAAATTGCGCCGCACTGAGATAGACACAGATCCGGCTAGCCCGGGATGAATTAAGATCCTCTCCTTCAATTTTCTCCTTCACTTTCTGCTTACACGGTTATTAGGCCTATTTGTAGACCTAATTTCAATAATTCGAACCGTTCACATTTTAAGATATATTAAGTATATTATATCTGTAAAAAATCAAGTTGATCAGATATCAGAAAGTATGTGTTCGGAAAATTATTTATTAATTTTTTTTTTAAAAATAATTTTTAGTTTGATGATCCGAACACATGCTTTCTGATATCCGATCAATTTGATTTTTTATAGATATGATATACTTAATAATTTTTAAAATATGAACAGTTCAGATCATCGAAATTGGATCCAAAAGTGAATCCAATAACCGTGCAAGTAAAAAGGAGAGAACTCATAGAAAAAATCTTGATTCCGCGTTCAGACTGAGAAAATTTGGAACAGATGGGAGGGTGAAGAGTGAGTAGACTGGTTTTGTATGGACTTCAGAAGAACATCACATCCCCACGTGTTTATCCAACAATAGGAACAGATAACATTTTTTTGGTTTGTATCTCAAAATATAATTTTTGAGAATTTTTTTAAAAATTTTATTTAGTTCACATTTTTTTTTAAAAAAAAAATTTAAATTACTTTCTCACTTCTGCACATTAATTAATTACTTTTTTTTTTCTTTTTTTCTCAATCACTTTTTCTCTTATACAGATCATTATAATAAAATATCAAATCATTCCAAACTCCAAAATTCTAAAACTATTTTCAAAATATACAATCAAATAAATCAATTTTTTTTTTAAACTCTCTCCCTATTTTAGAAAAAAAAATTATATCAAAATACAAATCAAACACACCCATAATCATTTTGTTTTTTTGAGAAAAAAAAGATGTTGCTAACAAATATCCCTGCCACGTAAGAAAATAAATAAATAAATAAAATACATCAAATATTTTCACTGTTTTTTTAAATATTTTCATATATTTTAAAAATATTTTTTACACTAATCCAAATATTAAACATGAGTTCAACTTCTCTTTAGTTTGCGTGGTCGAATTAAACGTCATCACCTCGGACTCCAGTGGGGTGACCCCCACTATCTTCATTATTTTTTGATTGGCTCAATTTTTATTTTTTATTTATTTAATTTTTTCAAGTCTTACTCTCACAGCAAGACATGTGGAGCTGGGGTGCTAGGGTCACCCCCGTTGGGGTCCTCAGTACCGTTGATATTTGTGCGTGTCTGTATTATTTTTACTATTTTTAGAGTTCATGATTTAGATTATATGTATCTATTTACAAACTTAATACAAGTAAAAAATCAAATTCAATATTTAATACGTTAATAAATAAACAAAATCTAAACATTTTATTTTTTTAAAAAAAAAGTAGAAGCAAGTAGCACATAATCATTGCTAAAACTGAGCTCAAACTGTCCTCTCTGGTCTAATAGGAGAGATTTTTAATTTTTTTTGACGTGACATAAATTGGTAGGAGTTAGTTGGGTTAGTTATTAATCAGAAAATGAGAGTATCAAAACATCCCTTTAAAATTTATCTTCATACTTCATATCATAAACTAGTATTACATAATTAGTAAGTCAAAAAAAACAAAAAATTATTTTGATTAAACAATGTCTTAAAAAGTAGTGTTAGCACCTAATTATTTTTGCATCCAGGCATAAAGTTCCAACCCCACATTAGCGCATGTTAGTTAACACCATAATAAATCGCTAAAATGCGCACCTAGAGAGAGAAAAAGAGAGACAGAGAGAACTCACTGTAACGTGCATTGGCGAGGCTGCCATTGGGAACGAAGTCATAGATAACGAGCTTCTCATCGACTCCCCAGTAGAACCCACGAATCCGTACCAAATTCGGGTGAACCAACTTAGCAATGACTCGAACCTGGTTCTCAAAATCCCTGAACCTCTCCACCCCACTCTCTCCGATCCTCCGAACCGCCAGGGCAGTCCCATCTTCAAGAACCGCCTTGTACATTATGCTCGAACCAGTCGCACCCAGTATATACGCCGACGCCTTCAACAGAGTCTCCAGCTCCAGCTCTTTCTCTCCATCAACTGTCACTAGTGCCCCTCTCTTCTCCTCTTTCGGCCCTCCATGATTTTCCTGATGATGATGACCCTTTTGCCCTTCTTCCTCTTCTTCATTCTCCGAGTTGGTGGTTTCAGACGAGTCTTCATCGTCTTTCGCTTGCTTTCTCAAGCAAGCCAAGGCTCTGATACCTTTTGATTCTTCTCCCGACGACGAAGATGACCACTCGTAGTCTTTAGCTTCGTTTCCTTTTGTGTTTGTTACTCTACTCCTCTTCTTTCTTAACTGGTAAATGTATAAGAAAATCATTACGAGGATTGCAACGCCGATGATATCTCCGACGACGATTCCGACTATGGTTCCTGGTCTCAGCCCACTTCGTCTCGACGATCCATTTGCTGTTTCTGGAGCAGTCGTCGCCGGACCTGAGTCTATGCTCTTGGGAATGGCTGCTATCGCCGGAGGCGAGGTCGGTGCGGTGCCGTTCGGCGGAGTCGAGATACTGGAAGGAATTGGGCACAGATTCTTCAATGGTTTCCCGCACAATTCTGGATTTCCACCGTATGATTTTGTTTCTTGGTCGAGAAAAAGGCTAGTTTCCGGGATTTCGCCGGTGAAATTGTTGAATGAGAGATCGATAGTGGCGTTTGTGGGAATTTTGTTAGCGAATTCTGATGGAATTTCGCCGGAAAGCCTGTTGTATGAGACATTGAAGTAATGAAGATTGTCGCCGGCGAAATTCGAAGGCAGCGATCCGTTGATCAGATTCGAAGACAGATCTAGAACTTCCACAGAATTCAACCCAGTCGGAAGACTACCAGAGAAGTAATTGTTCTTCAGAGAAACAACAGTTAGATTCACAAGATTCGTCAGATTTCCCGGGATGGTTCCCGCCAAAGCGTTGTCGGCGAGGTTGAGAAACTCGAGGCTCGTCAGTCCTCCGACGAGCTCCGGAAGGTCGCCGGAGATCAAGTTGTTAGACAAGTCAAGCTTTTGAAGCTCAGAAGCCTTGTAAATCGATAAAGGAAGTGACCCATTGATTGAATTGCTGGAAAGATTGAAGTTTCGAAGGAATTGGATCGTACCCAGATCAGAAGGAATGGAGCCGAGAAGCTGAGAATTGGGGAGTGAGAGGCCGATGACTCGCAAATAATCATTGGCCGTGCTTTGGGTACCACAAGAAACACCATTCCATGAACATGGTGTCTGATCATGGTAATTCCAGCTATCTAAAACACCCAGAGGATCACTGAGAACAGAGTACTTGAAAGAGAGCAATAAAATTCCATCAGTATTAAGCCCTGAAGATCGAACCAGAAGCCAAGTAAAAGCAAGAATTCTCCACCATGAATGGAGATCAATGCTTTGGTAGCTCATGATGCCTCAGAGTGTTCCCACATTTTAGAGAGAGAGAGAGAGAGAGAGAGAGTAATAACTGAGATTTATGAAACTGATGCTATAGGTGTTTGTAAAAATTAAAAATATATATATAGATATATATAAAAAATGAAAACAAAGCACAGAGAGAGGGAGAGGGAGAGAGAAAAACAGCTCACCAAAAAACCCTTCTTTACCAATATGCTCAATTCAGACCTTGGCAGGGCATAAAATAACTAAACACACGAAATTGATTTAATGTCCCTTACCTTTGCGATAACGTTTGCAAAACACAAAGTGCTGCAATGTGTATATATATAATTTAATAAGTAATCAGAAATTAAGAGTGGAATAGACATCTTTGCTAAGAGACACTCAAATGGAGTTGTGGTTGCAAAACTTCCGCATATATTGACTTTACACAGTTTGTTTAAATAATTGACATTAAAAAGATTTTTCACTATTTTATTAACCTTTTGGTAACCTATATTCTGTAAATTAAAGGGTTTAATAATGCATGTTGAATTTATTATTAGGAAAATATATACGCACCTTTCAAAGAATATGTATCATATGTATCTTATAATTAAAGAAAAAATAAAATAATTTTATATTTTCTGAGTTATAATTAAAAAAAAATTATAACTAAACACAACATCAGTTATAACTAAAAATCTCATGAATCATAAATAAAATAATGTTATAACTAAAAAAAAATGATTATAACTAAAGAAAAAATAAGTATAATTATGTGTGCATATGGTACACTATTTTAAGGGGTGTATATTAGAATTTTCTTAATTTATTATTATTATTATTATTATTTACATTGTTGTAGTATTTTGGGTCATGTTTATAATTTGTCAATTTGGGCAGATTTTGATTCACTGAAGAGAGTAATTATTTAATAATTTCATATTATAGATACGTCTTATTCCATAATATTATGATTGGTGAAGAAAGTGGAAATGAAGGGTATTATGTTAGGTGATTGAGAAATATGAGATGACATATTAAGGGTTGGTTTGACATGTTTGAAAAAAGTTAAAAAGTCAAAAAGTCACTATCACATCACATCATCTTATTTAAATCACATTACCTCTTTAACACATTACTTCAAACCCAACCCAAACTCAACCCATATTTCATAAAAATTAAAAAGTGTACTTATTTAGATTATCCCAAATAATTCTTAAATGATAATTGATTAAGAAATATGAACACATGATAGTTCAGAAATATTCTATAATTTCCCCCACAGAAGAAAATAAAAGTTGCCGTACAATTTGCAAGCTTAAAGTCTAATAAAGATTAAAGAGTGACAATAGGGTCCCCAGTGTCTCAAACTTTATACAGTTGCTCAGCATCATTGCACAAGTCACTTACTATGGTGAACAAATTGGCATCTGTTCATGAGTACATGTATCGTCTGTTCTTCCTTTTCATCCTGTTGTCTCGTATCATTTACTATTACACAGTGAGGTGAGTCTCTTTAATTTTATAATGTGATAGAAAAGAGATTTAAAACAAAATAAAAAATAAAAAGAAACTGCCCCACATCAATTCTCTATTATACGACGGGAGATTTAGAAGAAAAAAAAGACAATAATCGGCAGGCTTTATTCATTATCTTATCCTCTCACATTATTGACTCATATAGGGTTTCAATTTTATCATCAACTTGGATAAATCTATTCCTTGCAATGTAGAAATTTATTTCTTAAACCCATCATGAACCAAGTAGTCAGTGGGAGTTGGTGGAATAATTTCCTCGCAATGAACCATAGTAGATTGTCAAATTATAGCAATGGTGTTTTAATAGTCACATGTCATTTTGGCATCTCTCAACCAACTTTCCTTCTAATTTTCTAAGTGTTGTTTGGAAAAGTGGAGTTGCTGCTGCGCGGGTTGCACAACAGCGGTTGCTATGCTGCGAAATAGGCTCATTTCGGGATCCATTTTGATAATTCTAACCGTTCACATTTTAGAATACATCAAGTAGATCATGCCTGCAAAAAATCAAGTTAATTGGATATCGTTTACCCATTCATCCACTCACATTTAAATCTACAAAAATAAATAATAATTGTGATTTAAAGTATTAAAATGAATACAAATGTTAGTGGATGAATCGGTAAACGATATCCGATTAACTTGATTTTTTGCAAGTATGTTCTACTTGTTGTATTCTAAAATATGATCGGTTCGGATAATCAAAATGGTTCCCGAAATACAACAGCCGCTGCTGCGTAGCCCGCGCAGCAACATCCCCACTTTCGTTGTTTGGATATAGATTTTTTAGTAATTTTTGTTATTGTTTATTTATTTTTATTTTTTTTGTGACCTTTTTCAAACTTTTTGTAAAAAAATAAATAAATATTTACATTCTACCCGACTAGACAAATATAAAAAATTAAAAAAATTGAAAAATTGAAAAAAAAAATTTAAATGCATTGAAAATTATTTTGTTTTCATTTCAATAAGTTTGTATTTTTTCATAATAACATTGAAAAATTAAAATTATATTGAAAAATACATTACATTGCACAAGAAAAATTACATTGAAATAATACATTACATTGCAAAATAAAAATTACTTTGAAATAGAAATACTAAAAATTATATTAGAAAATAAATAATATTGCAAAATGAAACATACATTCTCCCCCAATTATTCATCATGAGGTGGGGAAAAATAATAATTTGGGTTGCTCACATGTGTAGATCGCTTTACGAAAATCTCATTCTTGCGCATTATGTAATAAGCTTTCAGTTGAGGGTCCATATTAGAAATATCCGCAATCATTATAAAATGTTCTTCATTTTTCATCTCAAGTTCTTTTATCTCCTGCAATGCCTGAACCATTTTATCTTTTCTTTCAGCTTTTTTCATTTCCTTCTCAGCAAGGTGTTGGTTAAATATCCCTAACAAATTGTTAAATTTGTGAACTTCAGTTTTAACGACTTGACTTTTCCAAAGTAATTCTTTTACAGATTTTCTACCTGTAGCATGGTTCTAAATCACGGTATCGGGTAATGTAACGGTATCAATCGCGAAGTATCAGTATTAGTAGTATCGGTCGGTATATATAAAGAATCAGGTATCGCGGCGGTGAAATTTTAAAAATCATTTCACATGTTTTTCAGTTTTTTCTTTTCCGTACAAGTCTGAACCGGTGAGTATCAGCTCGTCATGGCTTGTGTAACGGTTATAGACTACTACGTACCAGGACTCGGCCTATTCTCCTACAATTTTCGATCTTAATGCTATACCGGCCTGTATCCGTCGCGGTGCTTCATTTTTTCGATACGAACCAGCCGGTATGTAGTGTATCGGCCGGTTTTTAGAACTATGACCTATAGGCCTTTTATCCATTGTAGAGACACTACCATCACCAACACTTGGATTGTTACCTTCAGTTAGATTATTATCGTCATGAAGAGAAAAGCAATTATCCATAGGAAAATCGACGACTGAATCGGTAAATGATGTATGTATCATTAACTTGATTGTGTTCGTAGGAGTTACATCTTGCTACTTGATATTGTTTTGCAACACTTACTAATAATGTTCAAAAGAAAATATTTTTTTTCTTCATCTTAATAGTATAAAAGTTTTGCTTGAAGCATCTATATGGATAAAATATTAAATAAATTAATTAGTTAATTTTTATACGACACGAAATAAAAAAACTAACATAATAAATGAAGATGAAATATTACTCTGTCAACTTGAGACATCTCACTTGGGTGTCGATTTTCGATTTACGCTAAACATCCACGAAATTTGTTGGAACATTTCATGATTATACCCCATTGAGATTAGATAGACACTTGTGATCTTGACTGATCATTTTGAAGTGAGCAATAATTTTTATAAATTCTCCCCCCAAAGTGAGCATAAGATTGCGAATTACCAACAATTGGGTCTTCAAAAATGTGACACCAAGCTTTACAAGGTGCCACATCTTCATCAATGGTGAATTATTTTCCTCCTTTTGTTTTTGATGAATCTTCCATAGTGATTATGTGAAAAAACTATAAATACAAATGTAATTTGGGAGGTTTGTTGTGAAATGAAATTGAGAGAAAGAGATGAGAAAAAGAAAAATATAATTTCTGAGGCTTGCTGTGAAATGAAATTAAGATTGAGGGTTTGTATTGATAGAATTACAAAATATGACCGATTTCTTTCTAGGCTGTTGAGAATTTAAAAAAAATATGGCAGTTTATTTATAGACGTGATGTTTCTGTTTTACAATTTTTTATTATTTTTTTAATGAACAAAATAGCACAATTACTGGCAATCCAATGGCTGATTAATGAACAAGATCTCAGCCGTTGATTAAATAACAATCCAACGACTGAGATCTATCCTCTAGAATGATCCACACCTATCTCAAGAGAAAAACCCCTTTCTCTCTTGCTCTCATCAAACCAGTCTGTTGAGATGAAAGCATCTTTTTCTCTTTCTAGTGTTCTATCTTCATCCACAGTAGCCACGGCCCACCTTTCTCACCTTCTTTATCAAAAACCTCTTTCTCTTCATCTTCATTTTGATCATCACCACCACCAGACGTGATTTCCAAAACCAGCCTTCTCCCTCTCTCTCTGATTTGCATCATCACCACTAGCTCCAATCATAGATCACCGATCTTCGAGTTTAATGGAACTCCAGTGTTTGACTGAACTCCACTGTTTGGACTTCAATGGAGCTCGATTGGTCTGGGAAGGAACCCTACAAATCGATGAAGAAGAAGCCCTAGAGGTCGGCGTAGGTTGAGATGAATAATAAGTTTATCAATCATGCTAGAATCTAGGTATTTATCTTCTAAGTTTGTTTTTGAAATTTATATAAATTTGTGAAATTTGGGTTGATTTGTTCTTGACTAAAATTTGGATTTGATTTGTTCTAAATTGATTATCAAATTTGTGATTTGTTCTAAATTGATTCTGCTATTTGTGAAATTTGTGAATTTCTGAAATTTGTGGAACTAGTTCTTGAATGATCATTATGAAAGCGAATTCTGTTTGTGGAACTGAAATCCAATTCTGTTTCTGAAATTGAATGATCATTATGAAATTGAATTTGTGATTCTGTTTGTTTATGAAATTTGTGGAACTAGTGAATGAAATCGAATTTGGGAGGTTTTTTTTTCTAGTGAATGAATTTTATTTTTTCAATTGAATTTGGAGCAAAAAATTTGTTGATATTTGATGATGTGGCATATTTGGCACTTACTATTCAACCTGCCAAATTTGAGAACAAAAATGGTATCTATTATCTTTGGAAAGAATAATAATAGGCCATTGGAGACCTTTTTTT